TGTACTTTATTTCTCGGTGCAAAGTTTCTTCTGACTGTCCATAGGAGTATCAACTGGTTTGCATCCAAGCATTCCAGTCTCCTTAAGAAGATCTAGAATATATTTCCTTTGAGAAACAACAATGCCCTTCCTTGATCTAGCCACTTCCATTCTAAGGAAATATTTAAGATTTCCAAGATCTTTAACTTCAAACTCTTCTGACAAATACTTCTTCAAATTCTGTAATTCCTTCACATCATTTTCAGATAGAATAATATCATCGACATAAACTATCAATATAGCAATTTTTACCTGCGTGAGATTTCTTGACAAACAGAGTATGATCAGCCTGACCCTGTGTGTTGCCATACTTCCTTCGAAACCAGGTGGGATTTCCATGTAGACTTCCTCTTCAAGGTCACCATTTAGAAAAGCATTTTTTTTGTCCTGTTGTTGCAAGCACCAATCTTGGTTGACAGCCAATGAGAGAAGAATTCTGATAGTGTTAAGTTTTGCGACAGGAGCAAACGTTTCTTGATAGTCTATCCCATAGGATTGTGTAAATCCTCTAGCTGCCAACCGAGCCTTGAATCTCTCAACTGATCCATCTGCTTTGTACTTTATAGTGAAAATCCACTTGCACCCCACGGGCCTTTTCCCAACTGGCAAATCAGTAATAGTCCATGTTCTATTCTTCTCAAGAGCATCAATCTCATCTTGTACTGCCTTCTTCCACTATGAATTTTGTAATGCCTCTTGTATAGTGCTGGGTACCTGAATATCTTCAAGAGAAGTAGAAAATGCTCTGTAAGATGGTGATAACCCTTTATAAGTAACATAATTCCCAATTGGATGACCTGTACATCTCCTAACACCCTTCCTCAATGCAATCGATATGGTAGAGTCATCAATACTGGGAATTGGCACATCTTTAGCCCAATCCGTACCTGTGTTTTCTTTAGGTGGACTTGAAATTGGGTCAATATCTTGGCCACATGTTGGCTGTGATCCGTGCTCTAGCTCCTGTCTTTTCCTCCTCCTAATGTAGACTTGAAAATTCTCATTAGGAAGTTGTGGAGCCACAGATTGAGCAGGAACAGGAGACTGGATAGGCACGGGAGAAGACACATTTGTGGGCTGGACTGATGACTGAACAGGCACGGATGTGGACAAGTCTTGTGTACGGTCAGTGGGCACAAGCACGGGTTGAGGGGAACTTGGTGACTCAGAGTGGCCAACGGGTACATACTCAAGAAGGGACTCCCAAACTTGATGTTCATTCATGCTCTCCCCCTGAACATGAGATTTAGGGTAGAAGAACACATGTTCAAAGAAAGAGACATCCATGGTAGTGTAAAATCTTTTGTTGGTTGGAGAATAACATTTGTACCCTTTTTGAGTTGGAGAGTACCCTAGGAAAATGCACTTATTGGCTCTAGGATCAAATTTGCTACGGTGTTGGGGATACACATGAACAAATGCCGTGCAACCAAATACCTTGAGGGGTAAATCAGATGAAGCTGCACGGGTGTGAGGAAAATCTTTCAGAAGAAGCTGAGTTGGAGTTTGAAAAGTAAAGACTCTGGATGGCATACGATTGATCAAATAGGTAGCTGTGAGAATTGCTTCCCCCCAGAAATAATTTGGAGCATTAGAGGAAAACATAAGACACTGGGCAACCTCCAAGAGATGTCTATTCTTGCGTTAAGCCACCCCATTTTGTTGAGGGGTGTCAACACAAGAACTCATGTGGATTATCCCGTGGTTCTGAAGGTAGGTATTGAGACTACTAGTGAAGTATTCCTTAGCATCGTCTGACTTGAGTACCTGAATTCTAGAGTTAAATTGATTTTGAACCATAAGATTAAAGGTTTGAAAAATTTGCCCGACCTCTGACTTTTCTTTCATAAGGAAAACCCAAGTTACCCGTGTATGATCATCAACGAATGTCACAAACCATCAAGTGCCAGAAACATTTTTTATCCGTGAGGGACCCCACACATCACTATGGATCAAAGAAAAAACAGTTGAAGGTTTGTATGGAATTTGAGGATATATTGTTCGAGTATGCTTTGCAATCTGACAGATTTCACAATGAAAAGATGCTGGACTTTTATTAATAAATAATTTGGGAAACAATTTTGCAAGATACACAAAACTAGGATGACCAAGACGATAGTGTAATAATATAATTTCACTATCTTTATTGACATTGGAATTGGACACAAAATTGAAAGACTCTAACAGACTCTGAGACTGGACACAACTTGCTTGAGAAACTTGGTTTAAGGATCGGCCACATGAGAGGAGATAGAGCCCGGAGCACAGTTCAGCACTATCAATCATCTTCCCTGATTTCAAGTTCTGAAAAATACACAAATTTAGATAAAACTTAGTAACACAGTAAAGGTCACGAGACACTTTGCTAATAGACAAAAGATTACAATCCAAGTTTGGAACATGGAGGACAGAGTCGAGATACAACTCTTTAGTAAGTTGGATGGAACCTGTCCCAGCAATTTTTGAATTTGAACCATCAGCAATACGAACGGACAGGTGGCCACTACTTGGCTTGTAATTTTGGAGAAGAGCAGCATCTCCTGTCATGTGATCAAAAGCACCAGTGTTGACTATCCATGGCCTTATTCCTCTGTTAACAGTGAAGGCTGTATGTGAATCCTTTTGAGCAATCAAACCAGTCCCGGAAATGCTACCACTGCCAACTTGACTAAACAGTTTCTGCAGCAAATCCATCTGATCTTTGCTGAATGGTCTAGGCTCGGGAACATGAGCACTATCAGAGTTGGAAGCCACATATGCTTTGCTATCTCTGTCAAACCGTGGCTTTGGTTTCCAATCAGCTGGTTTGCCATGAAGCTTCCAGCAAGTCTCCTTGTAATGGCCTAGTTTCTTATAGTAATCACACCAAGGCCTTTCCCGTTTATGACGATCTCCACCATTACTGTTAGATGGTCGGACAGCAAGGGCAGATGCATCCAACGTTGAGGCAGGTTGTTCCTTAGATCCCATCATCACTTTCTTTCTACTTTCTTCACGCCTAACCTCTGAGAAAGCCTCCCTGAGACTGGGTAGTGGTTTAGTGCCCATGATTCGACCTCGAACATCATCCAACTCCCTATTAAGTCCTAAGAAAAATTTGAACAGCCGTTTTTGTTCCACAATCTGTTTGTACGTGGCTGCATCTTCCTGACATTTCCATGTGTGAATCTCGAATAAGTCAAGTTGCTTCCAATATCGTGTGAGTGTGTTGTAATACTGAGTAACAGACTGCTCTCCTTGGCGGAAGTCATGAAGCACTGATTCAACCTGAAACAGCTCTGAAGTATTTTCAGAGCTGGAGTAGGTCTCTTTGGCTGCATCCCATATTTCTTTTGCAGTCCCAAACAGCAAGAAATTTTTGCCTATGTCATTGTTCATGGAGTTGATAAGCCATGACATGATCATACTATTTTCAATCTTCCACTTTCTAAAACCCGGATCTGTAGTCTCTGGCATGGCTGCTGCTCCCGTGAGATACTCATCCTTTCCCTTACCACAAATGAACAGCAAAACATATTGTGACCACTGCAAATAATTATGGGCATTTAATTTGTGTCCAGTAATGAGAATAGGATGAGAATCACTGCCACCAAGGTTTGGAATTTCTGAATTTCCTCCTGATTCTGGTGCCGTGATGCTGGATGTTTGTGATGACGCCATTCCGTATTTTGTCATGCTCCAAATATTGCGAAGAAGAAGATGAGGGAGAAGAACGAATAAGGTTGCTGGAAAAATAGAAGACGAAAGCCGGGAGAATAGGCTTGAGAACAGAGAAGGGATGGCCGGAAGGAATGATGGCCGGAGAGAGGCGGCCTGAAGGGATTAGATGGCCAAAAGGAATGATGGCCAGAGAGAGGCGGCCTGAAGGGATTAGGGTTCAGAGAAACGGCTCTGATACCATGAAGAATTTCTGAATTTCTTATTGAATAAAACTCGGGACTACAACTACATATATATACAAACAATATCTAATAAAGGAAATAACTAACTAGCTTAATTCTTTCCTAAAAAACAGGAAACAAAATCATAGGAGAAGATCACAACTGATCTCTCCTTTTATTCCTAAATACTTTCCTAAAATAAAATCCCTAACTTTGACTTCCGAATATTCAACAAGACTACTCCAAATCTCGAAGGCGGTGTTGCAGCTCACTATTTGAGCTACTCGATTCTCAGTAAGAGATGAGTAGAGCCAACTCATAATCAACCGATTTGTGCGCTGCCAGAAGGTACATTTGGGGTTCAGCTGTTGTCGCTGTAGATCAGGAAATTTAGGAGGACATGGAAGAGACCCATCGATGTATTCTTCCAATCCATTTGCAATGATTATATTGAGCAATTGGTTCTTCCAGAGGAGATAATTATCTCGGTCAAGTTTGATGGTTAGGTTCTGATTGAAATTGGGTAATGGTGGTTGAATGAACTGAGCAGGGGCATTATTGAGGGTTTGTGCTTGAGGTTGGGGGTGAGTGTTTGGGTTCATAGGAGTTTGAATCTGGGTGTTTGCTGTAGAAGAATTTGGTTTCTCCATTAGGATCGTAGGGACCTCTGGGTCTTGATGCTGATACCAAATCAGATTTTAGAAGGTTTTTCGGAGAGTTTTTTTCAGAGAGAAGAAGAGGCAAACGGTGGAGGAAGAAATGCTCAGTCCACTAAGTATCTTTACTGAAAAAAATAGTTTGTATACAATGAGGGCCAGCACTAACCTAAACACGTGAAGAATCAGCAATATAACAGTACAAATGACAATTGGAGAGAATAACTAACTTATCAGAGGAAAATAAAGCTAGGCTATAATGTTGTACTGAGGAAAACAATTATACACGCTCAATTGTTCTTACAGTTGCTAACCTTTTGAAAATTGCAAATACCTTGATTTGACTGTTGGGAATGTTAATACAGCTTCTATCATGCCCTTCTCATATCTTAACGTTTATTTCCCTTCCTATAACTGACTGCAGATTCTGCCAGATATGATGAAGAGCTCGTCCACATTGTTCCACAATGTGCGTACAGCCATACCGGCATATATGGATTTGGAGCCCTTCCAAAAAGCAGCTTACCATGGCAAGGTTAAAGATGTTTCAGATATTACTCACGAGTTGCGATTGATTAAGTCTCCTGCAGAACTTAAGTTAATGAGAGAATCCGCCGCAATTGGTTGCCAGGTATCTACAAGTTGAAATATGCTCTCAAAGTTTATTCTGGAGTGCTACTACACTTCACTGATTGGTGTTATCATGTACGCTGGGATTGGATAGGCGCTTTTGCAGACAATGCTTCACTCAAAGACGTATCCTTATGAGGCTATTCTATCAGCAAAAGTTGAATACGAATGCAAAATTAGAGGTGCTCAGAGAATGGCGTAAGTAATTATTTTATTATTGGATCTTGAAAACCACATTTTTTTCTTTTAGCCGTGTTCATTAGTTCTATTCTTTTCCATTGCCAGGTTTAACCCAGTGGTTGGTGGTGGGTCCAATGGAAGTGTTGTACATTATTCTCGAAATGATCAGAAAGTGGGTTCAAACAACATGCTCTCTATTCTTCACCCGTTCACGGCACCATAAGCAAATATAATCTTCTTTGATTACGCAGATAGTTCGTGGTTCAACACTTATATTACACTTGTGCAGATTAAAGATGGGGATCTTGTTTTGATGGATATTGGATGTGAGTTGCACGGTTATGTTAGTGATCTTACTCGAACATGGCCACCCTGTGGTAGCTTTTCTTCTCCTCAAGTATGGACATCCGAAGTCTTCGAGTTTTTTAAAGCTTTTAGTTTATGTTACGCTACTATTTATGCGAATACTCCCAGATAACCTGTGGAAATCGGTGGGTAAATAAAGAATACCTAGCCGCCAATCTCACATTATAATCAGAGGTAATAAGCCCCTTTTATATACAATTAGGTTACAATCAGTTAGAGAAAGAAAAGGAAACTAACTCCTAATTTACAGCTAGCTACAAATCAGCAACTAATCTACCATACAGAGATTACATATATTTCCGAAAATAGAATTTCCTAAACAGTAGGAAATAACACGTTTTTCAACACTCCTCCTCAAGTTCGAGCATGAATATCAATCATGTCCAACTTGGATAAATGTTCCTCGAACCTAACCCGTGGTAGACCTTTTGTTAGAAAATCAGCAAGTTGTCCTTTGGATGTGATGTAAGGTATACATACAAGCCCTTCTTCGACCTTCTCTCTGATAAAATGTCTATCCACTTCCACATGCTTAGTACGGTCATGGTGGATTGGATTGTGAGCAATACTGATTGCTGACTTGTTGTCACAATACAACAACATGGGATTCTCACTTTGAAGTGATAGCTCATTCATGATTCTTTTTAACCATAGAAGTTCACATATTCCTTGTGCAAGAGCTCGAAGTTCGGCTTCAGCACTACTCCTTGCAACCATTGGTTGTTTTTTGCTTTTCCAGGTCACTAGATTGCCCCATATAAATGTGCAGTACCCAGTGGTAGACCTTTTATCATTGGTTGATCCAGCCCAATCTGCGTCAGTAAATGCCTCGATCTTCCTTGAATCATTCTTTTTGAACAGCAACCCCTTTCCTGGAGTTCCTTTGAGATACCTCAAAATGCGATGAACTGCTCCAAGATGTTCATATGGCTCGTGCATAAATTGGCTGACCACACTTACAGCATAGGCAATATCAGGCCGTGTATGGGATAGATAGATTTGATGCCCAACCAACCTCTGGTATCTCCTTTTATCAACAGGCACCTCTCCTTTCTTACATCCCAGCTTGTGGTTCTCTTTAATAGGTGTATCTGCTGGTTTACTCCCCAGAAAACCCGTCTCTCTGAGCAAATCAACAGTATATTTTCTTTGTGAAACATAAATTCCTTTCTTTGATCTTGCGACTTCCATACCGAGAAAGTACCTCATGGGTCCAAGGCCCTTGATTTCAAACTCTTTGGCTAGAACCTGCTTCATTCTTTCTCCTTCGGTTGTGTCATCTCCAGTAAGAAGGATATCATCAACGTACACAATTAGAACTGGAATTCTTCCATCTTGAGATTTCCTGAAGAACAAAGTATGATCAGTGTGAGCTTGGGTGTATCCATATCTCTTCACCGTTTTTGAAAACCGATCAAACCAGACTCTTGGAGACTGTTTTAATCCATAGAGGGATTTTTTCAGTCTGCACACATTATCCATACCATAAACGTCTTCAAAACCTGGAGGAACATCCATAAAAACTTCTTCTGCCAAGTCCCCATTTAGGAATGCATTTTTGATGTCGAGTTGGGAAATTTTCCAGTCTAAGTTTGCAGCAACAGAGAGAAAGACTCGAATAGTGTTGAGTTTCGCTACTGGGGCAAAGGTTTCTTGGTAGTCTATTCCGTAGGCTTGTGTGAATCCTTTTGCGACCAAGCAAGCCTTATATCTTTCAATAGAACCATCCGAATTATACTTCACCGTAAACACCCATTTGCACCCAACTGTTTTCTTTCC